CGGGATTCCTAAACTAGGTGGAATCACGTTTCGCAAAAAATGGATACGTGATTACTTTCTTTTAGAATCGACTTTCGCCAGAGGACATGCCGAATCAAGATTTCGAAACGGAATCGCTACCGTCATAGGCGATTCGGGTAACTATAAATTTCATCCTTTCGGCCTCGGGGGGAGGCCACACCCCCTTGGAGACTCACTCATGTATTTGATGAAATCTTTGACATTTGCAGGCTTATTCCCACCTCATGGACACATACTTGGCGAGAGGCAAACCACACGATTGACGCTCTCACTAGGGGAGGAACAGCTATGACAAGAGCGTAGAGATCTCCGGTTTTTGGGTTGTTGGTCTTTATGTTTTGTAATCACATAGATGTACAAAATCTTTTCACCCTTACCACCCCCTTGGTGGTTTTTGTATAAAGCTCCCGACTTTGGGCAGACTATTTTTCGATACCTTGTACAACTTTACTTTATACAACAGAAAAGAGTTTCAATTAATAAAAATAAATATATAAATAAAGACACAAAAAACCATCAGCAACTACAAATGTGATGAGAACACTCGAGGTCATTTGATCATACAAACATAATTTCTGTTTGATTATTTTGTAAACCAAAAGCAATGGAAAACAGGGCTTTTAAAAACAACTATAATCAACTCACAGAGAAAGTTTCAACTCTCAAGCCCTTGACCACAATATTCAAATGAAGAAAACAGCCATCCAACCAGAACTAGACCATGCTGCCCTTATTACATTTTATTCGGTGAAAAGTTGGTTTATAGTTTGCAACAAATGTTTGAGTATAAGCATTACCTCAATATCAATTCAGCCAACAAGTTTTCTATGAAGATAGGTGGTTATATCAATGCATTATGAGATATAATGCATACGTGGTTATCACTAACTAGATCACTCCCCCAGGACATGCTCATATCCCACACAATGAAAATTTGATTATGCTAATTTTACCTAACTACAATCAGCACCCCCACTTAGTGGAGGCCCTTGCAGTCCAATTTATTAATATTGCACCTTACCTGGCCACTTCCATTCAACTCAAAACAGTTCAGCCTCAACAGTATCAACATGATACTGAAGACATCTTTCAGACTGAGGCACCAGCCACTGCCTCAGCTCTAGTTTTACCACCATTTATACCAAGTGATGCCTCTTTTAACCCTTCCATGCTGACTTCGTGCAATGTGGGAGCGGTTCCTCATCAGAGTAACCTTTATGGTTGTCACCTAATAACCAATGTTCACGAGCCATCTTAGTATCCATGCCATCTGTCTTTTCTTCCTAAGCTACAAATGTCTATTGAATGGTTAGAGACGTATGAATAACACTCTGCACAAATGGTGGTTGATCCTCCTATGCTTGATCAGCAATCGGCAACTCATACACTTGGCCTCATTTGGATGTCTTGGTCACCATAGCAGAGCCTTATCATTACCTCCCTTTATGGGCAGCCGTGAAAATAGGAATTCTCAAATGGTCATAATGACATGTAAGAAAATACAAGTTTTGGCAGACAGAGAAACAGAAGGAAAAGATTTGTTTTCCTTATGTGCCTAGTGGCAAAGCCCTACTATTTGCAGCATTTTGCTGTAAGCAGGGTACACTCCTTGAATTTGTGCCATCTAAGTGTGGTCTGCCAGCTACATTCCTGAAATTGTGCCCCTGAATAGTGGTATGCCAAGCTGGCATGCCCCCCATTCAAGCACAACTATAAGGAAATCTTATTCCCCTGACTAAAAAGTGCTCATCCATTTGGGGACCTATTCTTCTCATATACATATACCTAGATCACATTATCTTCACTGGTGAACCCTTGCTATTTAGCAAACCAATTTCATGGGAATCAGTTGGAGATCAAGAAGGACCTCTCCACTATTACTTGACCATTTAAGTATCTATCATCTTTTTTGAGTAAAGTTCACTGTATTTCATTAGAAAGAGAGACAAGGAGAGGGGCTTTAGGTCCCCAAGGTGGAACTGGATGCCCCCTCCTTAGCCAGGCTATCAACATCTGAGTTAGCTTTTCTATACACGTGTTGCCAAGCGGTGCTGAAATCTCTGGTGATATACAAAATTTCTTCAAAAATTTCATCAAGATGCCATGACCAAAGCTGAACAATTAGAGACCCAGGTGATAATATTCTTGGCATCTCCTTCCACTATCAGGTTGTGACTCCATGATAAGTCACACTCGCGAAGGCCCACGAAGAGGGCAAGGGCCCCAGAAAGGGTGGAGTCTGTGATACCAATAGGGCAAGAGAAAGACATCAAAATACTTCCATCACTAGCTCGTAGGAGCCTCCCTATGCCTGGCGGTCCCGGGTTGCCAAGGGAACAGCCATCGAAGTTGAGCCTAAAAGCTCCACTTTCCGGTGGCTCCATAGGGAGGCCCTCGAAATATTAGGAGAGGTAAGGCACAGTAAATTGGACCAGTCACTGTGGAAATCAGTGAAGGATAAGTTCTTGAAAATCGGTTGGTTGGTGGCCCAAAAACCACAAGGTTCCTGACTTTCTCTGCCAATTGCTTGGCAGTGGATCTCTCTCCCCTAAAAATCCTATGATGTCTTTCACTCCGTAGAACCCAAACAGTGGCAGAAATCGAAAAAGGTGGGAAATTGATCTCGGGGTGACCCAAGCCCAATCAAACAAAGTCAGAATGCAACTGCAAACTGCTCTCGAGCAGTCGCAGTGAAGGAGGAGATGTTCACTTGATTCTTCATCCTCCATACACAATGGGCATTTGTTGGGGGTTTGCACGCCTTTCCTTTGAAGCCGGTCAATTGTTAACAGTCTCTCATGCAGTGCTATCCAACAAAACACCTGGATCCTAGGACGTATGAGGGGGTTCCAAGCTTTAGAAGCTATGGTATAAAAGGGGGCAGTGGGGTTGGAGGAGGAGGTGAAGGTTCAAAAATAGGAGGAGACCAACAATAGACCTGAGGGAGAAGGGGCCCAGACAATCCTATTGGCTCTAGAGGGCGGTAGTAAAACAGAGTCAATTCTTCCAGCCACAGAACTGATTTCCTCGACCTCATGGTCGAAGAGAGGTCTCCTAAAATTTGGCGTCGAAGTTCTCGCTGATCCAGAAGCACTAAAGTTATCCGCAACCGAGAAAAGAGGATTACATGCTAAAAGGACAAGGATGGGGTATTGCTCCCTAAGAGAAGAGGCCCACACCAAATATCCGTCCAAAATTTCACCTTGGTCCCCTCCCTTGGTTGGAGCCGAACATTTTGAAGGAAAAAGTCATGGCTTCGAAGGATTGACCTCCGGAAGCCAGAGATGTTGCCACTGGATTTGCATTAGGGCGTCCAAGGGTCGACACTAAAACAGTATTTGTGCTTGATAACCTCCCTCCAACGGTGATCCAGTTGGGTGGCAAACCTCCACCACCATTTGGCCAAGAAGGGCATGTTATGGTTTTTAAGGCTGCATATGCCCAAGCCCCCCAAAGTTTTAGGAAGGCAGCTTGTCCCAAGCGATGAGATGAAACTTGTGTCCTTGCTCCCCAGCCCAACAGAAATTCCTCATCAACCACTCTAGAGGGTCAGCCACAGAGGCTGGGATGGGGAAAAGGGACATCTGAAATACCGGAGTATTCGCAAGGGTGGCTTTGATCAGCGTAAGCCTGCCAGCCTTGGACAAGAACCTGCCCTTCCAACCTGAAAACCTCCTATTAAACTTATCTAGTACATTACTCCAATGAGAAATTCTAGGTAATCCGAGGAGAGAGGGAGGCCTAAGTAGCTAGAAGGCAAGTGATCCACTGAGCAACCCCATGAATTGGCAAGCAGTTGGACCAAAGATGGGCTGGTGCGAACCCCCATCATTTTGGAGGAGAGAGGGAGGCCTAGGTAGCTAGAAGGTAAGTGATCCACTGAGTAACCCCATGAATTGGCAAGCAGTTGGATCAAAGATGGACTGCTGCAAACCCCCATCGTTTTGGATTTGTCTAGCTTTAAACCCAATAGCCATTTCGAAGCATTTAAGAAAGGTCCAAAGAGTATCCACATGTCTCGGCGAGGAATCGTAGAAGTCAAGTGTGTCCTCTGCATTCTGAAGGTGGGAGACGAGACGGTCGTGGCCGCTAGACTGGAATCCTCCCACAGCTGTCTGCTCAATTAAGGTAGTATCTATCATTTCTTAAGAGTTTCGCTCACTCACAATACATCCAGTTGAATTATCATGTCATCCTGATATCCTCGACTGTGGACTTGTTGCGTGCCACTTGTTCATAAAAACAAGCACTGTAACAAATCATTACCGGTTTGATGGTAACAAATCATTACCAGTTTGATAGATTACCTATCCAGTGTCCAGTAGGTTCCAAAGGTTTCTTCCATTTATTCTGAGGCCATTTTATTTCTGAAAGCGATTCACTAAATCTATTTTCTGAGGTGCCAACCCCTCTATCAAATTCCAGATGCAACTTTACGGCTAGATTTATTTCTTTGACAATGAAAGAAGAAAAGAAAAAGTACAGTGATCAGATCCAAAGACGCAAATAATTTGATCACCAAGTGACTTCCAAGGAAACAATTGATGCCAATCCCACCTGATGCTCTCAGAAAGGCGACAGCCATGTTGCCTGTTGCATATCAAGGATGTATACCCATTAAATGACACAAACAGCACAGTGCAAGTATAGGCCGGTTTAAAATGCTTTGTCATATCAAGAAACAGTAAGTCTACCATAAGGGAGGTCCTATAAAGATTAACTCAGGAGGCTTCCTAGCAGATTTGTAAAAATAACTCAGTGTGTGTTCTGCATAACACTATTTCTGCCTGACCGTCTGATAATAGTCCACCTTAATTGGAGCAACAAGTGTAAAATTTTGGATTAAGAGGTAGATTACGTCTAATGCCTCACAATAAACATTAAGATATGTGACCCAAATGTCAGCCCATCTTCCCTAACATGCTTCTTATTCCACTATCAATCAAATTATGAAGCTCAGAATAAGACAAACAACTTACGCAAGATCACCACCAATAAGAAACAAGTCTCCACGTGGTAAGCTGCACAAGGAACTCCCATCTTTAAGTTGAATGGAAGGCTGAGCAAGCAATCGAGCCACAGCATAGGAAGAGTTTCCACCATCCCCAGTATCTGCCATGAAGTCAAACCATAGTTCTTCTCTTTCACTTAAATGATCATAGAAAAGATCATGGCTATGAGCTTCATCTGGGGTCCTGCTCATTGCAGCCTGAACATAGGGAACATATAGCAAAATATATATAAACATTGATATGATAAATTGAGCAAGTGTATAAAGATTGGGAAATTTTAAGAGAAAGGTGCATCGTTAGAAAGATTTTTCTTATTCATTCCAATAATGTTGATTATGATCCTTTAGTCAACAAGCCAAAAATACAAATCAAAAAGGAAATAACAAGCTAAATTTAGCTAGATGAGTTATACATAAACTTACATATACAAGCATGTGGATATATGAAACTGCCACATATACATTTACGAAGACTAAACAGTATAGGGAGCTCACTTTTGGAATTAATACAATATCAGGTATTGGTCAAAGAATGGCAAAGGATGTAAGCACCAAATGATAATTCTGAACACATTATTCACACTGGTTTATATAACAATCCAAGAAGAATTAGCAAAGCACCATACAACCATTATAGGATTATGGAGGTATACCTGCATCATGCGCATGTCAAACCGACCAACAAAAAGAGTTACAGAGACAAGAAGATCAAAAACTGTCTTAAACAGGTCAGCAGATGTCCTGCACCATTCATTCAGTAAGATAAGAATCCAATCCAGATTTCTGCAATTTCCAAAACCAAAAAAGACCACACACGTACCCTGAATACCAGGGAACCATATCCAAGAAATCGGGCTTCATTTGTTTCTTCAGCTTCTCACATTCTGAGAGTGAGAGTGGGTGAGTTAATGCCCATCTGTTGATTTATCATCAAAAGGAGCACATGAGTTGTCCTATGGTTACCTTCTTTTCATTTGATAGAATGAGTTGAATCTTAGAAAGCCTTCCATTGAAGAAATTCAGCAAAATTTTATTCATCTCATTGAGAAAACTGAGTTCTCGCAATGAATAAAAGGAAGAGCATACAATAGATTGCATGAATTTAAAAACAACAGCAAAGATGGCTCTCTAGTGCAATTGCACATCCACTCCACGTGATAAATATACATGAATTTTTTAATATATTAGCATAGGGCATTCTCCCAAGTACTAAATATCAAATAAGACCAAGACTTACCCAGTGGAGCGCTCCACGACATAATTGGCCATGTAAAGTCCTATAAATGTGGCCCACAATGAATAAATGGGGGATATTTCATCTGATTGGCCAGCACATGATCCACTACAAGCTATCTGAAATAGATAATGATAGAATTATGAATGAACGTAGGAAAAAGGATAACACTCCAAAAAACTACAGAATAAATGCACACTATGCTCCCTACTACAAGTTTCAGGGCAACCACACCTCTCCATAAATAACCCACTTTGAGAAAAGGGGATAATCACTGGCTGACCCAACAGGGGCAAACCAAGATGAACACACTTGTTCCTTCAACTCGTGCACATGAATGAAATGTGATAACCATTTGCTTCTCTCTTCCTTCTTCCAAAATGGGAAAGAGAACAAGCCAGAATTTCTCCTTTCTAGTAATTTCTCTTTTGAGACAGCACGATTTCCACAATGACTATAGAATACACAGCATGCGATACTCAGAACCTGCATTGATAGGAACAAATAAACTTGGAATCAATCTAAGAGCATATATACATACACACACAAACATTAATTTGTTTATTTATTTATATGTTCCCCAACACTGAAATTTGAATTTGAAAGCTTAAATGCGTTGACAGCACTTACAGCACAGTTCTGAATGATGGTCAAAATCTCAGGTCTTTTACCAGCCACACGAGCTACCAACCCCACATACCAAAGGCCAAGAAATATGACATGGAAAACAATGAGAAAGAGTACAGATGAGAGGTATAGCGTAAGAAATAAAGAAAGGTTCATCCTCATGTCCACTCCCATTGACTGAAAACTTGGGAGATGATATAATGCAGCAATAAAAATCCATGCAATATACCTGCAAAATTTGAAACAAAAAAAAAAAAAGATAAGCAAATTGTAAACTGTCTCTATCTTGGCCAATGTAAAAATGGAATACACATGAGAACATATTATGAGGAATGCTGCCACAATCAGATTGTATAGGTCAATTTGGCCCATCCAAAAAGAAATGATCTATAACTTAAGCATCATTTCCGGCCAACAATCATCCCAGTTAACTAATATAATCTGATTTATTGGAATTTCAATAAAATTTCTATAGAAACATGGAACCATTTCCTTAGACCAATTTGATTTACTTCAGAAACCAAATTATCTGGATCAGTATAGGAATTTGCTAAATTAACAGGTAGTTGGTACTGCTTTAAGACGGCAAGAGAGAATGTGCATACCAACGACTGAAGTTCGAATAGCTTGGCTTAATAGTCTTCCGAATAAAAGGTGACGAGAAGAAATAGAAGAAGCCCACCAAGCCGATATACATCGACCACCACTTGACATTGCTGTCTAACTTTTGTATGAGTGTGTGCAGATTATCGGATGAGATGAAGAAAAGACAAGCGACAATCACTGCAGTCATGGCATGTCGAGAGTGTTCATGTGGGTAAGGATATTTGTATGTCAAAATAGTTCTGACCCTCTCCATTCCGAGGTTCTCTAATAAGGGACCCCGGGAATTCTTCCTTGTAAGCATTTTACCTCCACCTTGGCTTATGTAACTCAAGCCACAAGTGATGTCCTGAACAAAAACGTAATTAAGGTGCAATGTACCAGCACTAAACAAAGCTCTAAAACATCAAAGCTTGAATCTAAATAGGATAAGTATACTATAATCCAAAGGGACATGGTTTCCATCATCCATTGGCCTAATCACCTGGACAGTGAAGGAGATAAGGATGGACCATCATTGGATTGTCTCCTGTTCTGGTAAGCCCTATTCTCTCTTCATCACCATACTTCATTTTAGTTGCAGCCCTCATGGACTATGGTATTCCATAATCCATTGATTACTGGTGCACTTTCCCATCTCGATAAATAATATGTTTGGAGATATGGAAACTAATTAGGTTACTCACCTTTTCATAGGCTAGCTGAATGCTCCAAAAGTGATAAACTAAGAAGCATCCTTAGTGAGTTTGCATAGCAATCTCAAAGATGATCTCCTAAAAAGGTTTTAATGATCCTAAGCCTCTTTCTAGCAAAAATGTCCAGTTGATAGAAAGCTTGCTACTTGGCTACTTTTAGAAACTGCAAATCTGCAATATTACAGTATCAAACGTTAAATATTTAGACGACCAAAGAAATGAAACAAGTCATACAGTTTCTGTCAAGCCAATAGACCTACAAATAAAATATCACCCCAGAAATTTATATGGAAAGATAGAATCTAATATTATGTCCATGACTAACTAGCATATAAACATACTTGATAATGCCTCCACTAAAACATACTTTCTAAGGTGCAGACTTAACAATGTATCTCAGAGAAAAAAAAAAGACACTTAACGATGTTTATAAGTTAATTTTGATTAGAAAATGGTAAACAAAACACAAGTTAACGTGCATAAAGCTTCGACGTGGCTTTTCAAAAAGTGTTGCCATTTACCTTATAAACCAACAGCAGTTCGCTGGAGCTGACAAACATTTTAAAAAAGAACCAACCTTTTCAACATAAGTAAGTTCCGGGTTCAGCTATGACTAGAGTTGGCAAAACATAATGTCTTCTAGTTCTTACCAGTTATTCATACCAATAAACAAAGGCTTATTCTATTTTCCAGGTTTCAGATTAACCTACGAATTAGCAGTGAAATTCAAAAGAGTTGAAATCCTTGTATCTTCCAGATTAGATAAAAGCACGAATTGCGAGCACCCACATTTTCAGACTTCATGATTATTGTCATCAGTTCAGTATTGAAAAGCAAGATGCAATTATATGGACTTCGAGGTTTGGCTCCAAATCTCAACAACGAGTATATGTCTCCAAACAAGACATTGACATTTGACCCAATAAAATGTAACTTTCTGACTACCAAAACAAAAAATCAATGTATCATCCTCATGGTACAAAAATTGCAACCAAAAAGTATAAAGACACTAGCAAAGTTCATCGGCAGTTGAAGCACACTCAAGCATGCATACAAGCTTTATCTCTATAATTTATGGAGAAATAATCTGGTTAACCAAAAGACGAGTAGAAATCAGGTCATTAACTCTAATCAAAGTCATGCAAATAACTTATCAAAAAGGAAATTTTAAGTTGTGTAAACACTAACATCCCTCATCCGCTGATTATAACAATGATTAATTAATTCAACCAATACATAAAAAGCACCCATTAAAACCGATAACATGGGCAAAAAATAAAGAGTTCATGTGAATCCTTGATGTGATGAACTAAGGGAACAGCCAGTGAAACTACATAGCCACGGCCATCAACGATCATGGTAAAAACAAATCAGCCTGAACGAATACTACATCGTTCCTCTCAGAGTCCATTCAATCCTTGAGAATTAAGTAATAAAAAATTACAGTTCACAAAACGAGAGACAAAAGAATTCGGCCTAAAGATGATGTGCGATAAAATTGCAAACACTTCTCACAGAAGATTGACAGATGAGGAAAACAACAGAAAAATAAAAAAGAATAAAAACACACGGAAATATTTCCAATCGCAACTAAACAGGGAAAACAACAATCCTGCAGACCCAAATTTTCAGAAATATTTAACAGAGAATTTTCTTCAATAATTTTATTCACTCGAAACAAATTGGATAATGAATATTTAACAGATATTAACAGGACTGAAAAAAATGGGACCAAGCACGTCAAAAGAATCACTAAAGTAAAGATTTTTAGCAGCAGAGTTATTGTACAAGAACCCATTTCAGTAGAACCAAACTGATGCACAAAGAACAAGCTTTCCCATTTGCATGCAGATGCTTTCCATATAAACCAGCAGAAGGAACGGATTGAAGCCTATAAAGAAGGAAACATGGACAATGGGACAAAAAGAAAAGAAAAAGACAAACAAAATGGGAAAAGGCAGAGGACTCTCGTTACCTGAAAGAGGTGTATAGAGAGAGAGGAAGAGAGGGAGAGAGCATTACCGGGTGAAGAAGAAAGAACAAGAAATGAATGGCTTTTAAAGCCGACATAGCATCTGAGAATTTGAAGAGAAGCTCACACGGCATATTCCTCTGCACCAATTTTAGAGAGAGAGAGAGAGATGGCTTGCAAATTGGGAATTCCTGCCTACCAGAAGGATGAAAATGACAATAATGGCCCTTAACTTTCATCTGAAATTTACTTAAATTTTCTGGAGGCGAGGACCACCTCAAGGTGCTCAAACTTTTCTGACATGACTGAAACTTCCTCTTCTTTAATAAAACAATTATTTTAATACTGTTGGATTAAAGCCTCAGACACACCCTTATTTTTCAGGTGAAAGACGAAGAAGCCGGTCTCCCAGTTTCATGAGAAACAAATTATCGGTAGTCGTAGCTTGGTCAACCGTTTGCGCGTGGCAGGCCAACTGCCATCCCTCTCTCTCCCCTATTTCTCTCTCTAAACAAACAGTTCTACCTCAAAAAAATGACTTCTCACTTGTTCTTTTTTTATGCAAATATTATGAGATTTATTGATTTTAAAAAAATTTACAGGGAGAGTGGCAAGAGAATCAGCCTCGACATTTGCTTCCGTGCTCGAACATAATCGTCAAATTTTCTGAAAGCGAAAATATTTGTAACCAAAAAGATCTCAACTCCCATGCTGCCCCCTGCTTTTTGTTGCACCACTTAATAATACTAAAAGAATCGCCTTGCAATTTCATTCCGGACTCATTCGGTTGTTTTTAAGAGATTTGAAATTGTAAAGATTAAAGTAATTTTTATTGCTAAAACCGGTGTGCATTAAAAATAATTTATGACCAATTTTAGATATCTTTATAACGAGTATCCAAATTTTCTTCACTTTGTTTTTTTAATGTATAGTTTTGAAAAAATAATGAATATCCAAAATGAACTTTGTAGGCATTCTACTCTCGATACTTTTAGTATGACACTCATAACCCGATTACTATTTTTCCTTGCTTTTAACCTCAAGTCAAAAAATAAAATGTTTAAAGAAAGTATATCATGAAACTATTTACCTTTGATACAATGTGGTCACAATTAATTTTGATAATTATATAAGAAATTGGGTGGTTGCTTTTATTTCATCGACCAAGCTCAAAGTTTAAAAGTAATTTTTTCGAACTTTCTGATATACCCAAACCATCAAATTTCACATCAGATGATTATAAGTAAATTGACCTCCGTGTACCAAAAGTAAGCTCATAATATTCAATCCTAAATGTTTTAAAGACTAAACTACGATTCATCTCCCGTGCCATACCCATTAAAGGCTTGTTTGGCTCCATAGGTTAGCAAACCTAGGTTTTCACTCAAAATCTTATTATGTCAAAACTTGGTTATGTTAAAACCTGGTCACTCAAACAGAACTTGTTTGGATGGTTTTGAATGATACCCACGTTATGCAAATCTCATATTTGGATCATGTTTTGTGTAACATAGTTTGCTATTGCACATAGAGAGAATATATCAAACTTGAAATTTGAGATAGTTTCTCTCTCTAAAAAAGTTGAAATAGTTTCTCTATCTAAAAAACTAAAATTTGATATAGTTTCTCTCCAAAAAAAATTTGAAACAATTTCTCTCTCTAAAAATTTGAAATTTCAAATAGTTGATAATTTCTCTCTCCAAATATTTTGAGATAGTTTCTAGAGAAAATTACGCTAATATCCGTTACAGTTTCCGTTATTACGGTTACACCAAATAGTTTCCGTGATTACATCCCTTTCCGTTTTTTTTCATCTCATAGCATAATTTTTTTAACAAAACGATTTTAACCTTTTTCAGGTATTGAACAACCGAATTCAAAAACATTTTGGTTGTTCAACAACCGAAAAAGGGATTAGCTCGTTTAAACTTCCCGCTATAGTTTTACCGAAAGATATTTGAATGCAACAACTGAAATTCAATTTTCGGTTGTTGAACAAAAGAATTTACAATTTTCAGTTATTCAACAACAGAAATTGTGCGGGGCTCGTTTAAAATTCCTGGATCTGTTTCTTTTGCGTCACCGGTCCAGGTATTTCTCATTCCCCCCATTTTTTATTGTCTCTTACCTTTCTGACAATCAAAACAACATATTTAGATCTAGATACAAGTATTTGGACGAATCATAACTGCATTTGATTCATTTTGAGGGCATTTGATGGATTTCTAATTTGTAGTGAAGGTATGTATAATCTGATTTCTTGTTCGATTTTTAGAAGTTAGGGTTTCATACTTGAGTAGAAGCGGTCGATTTAGGGTTTATTTGATGGATTTTACATATTTTTTAATGACAATTTGTTTGAGTGATAGTTGGGATTTTTAAGAAGTGCAATTATTTGGGGTTTGTAATAACTGTAAATTTGTGGTTATTTTTAGTTCTTGAATGTTATATATGAGTTATTGAGTTATCTTTATTTTTTATTTATTATTTAAGAATTTCTAAATTTGGGGTTACTGAGAACTACAAATTTGGGGGTTTTATTATAACTCGAAATGAATTAACCTGCAATTTGAAATCAATAGCTTAAGATAGCTAAATGAGTTGTTGTATGTTGCCTTTGTATTTGAAAATGTATAACTTATGCTATATTGGGTTTGCAATTTGAAATGATTAGTATATAACTGAAAATTTTGGGGCTTATCTGTAGTTGAATGGATTTGTGTTTTGTGACTATATATAAATGAATCCATCTGTACTTTGAAATCTTTAGCCTTACAATATTGGATGTTGCATTTGTCTTTGAAATGTATGAGTTATGCTATGTTGGACTTGTAATTTGAAATGAGTAGCTTAATACAGCGTGTTCGATGTTATTCTGTGTTGTTGAATGTTGTTGTCTGTATTTTGTTGTAATTAACATTTTGGTTATAATAAATGCAAAAAACAATAGTTGTCTTTGATTCTTCCCCTTTGAACCAATATATTAGTTGTCTGAAACGGTGCCTTAGTTGCTGATTTCTTTGATTTCTCATAGTTGTATGGGCTTATAATGAATGGGTGCGGGTTTTGTAAGTTGAAATTTCTTATAGCATATATTTTAAATAGGTACATAGATGGTACAGAGATGAATAGGTACAAAGATGGTATAGAACATTGTTTTGGTTATCATATAAGAACAAATTTTTTGTAGTCATTACTTCATGCCCATTCCATTGTTAGTGATATATGATTTACTGATATATGGATTACATACGAGTTACAAATGTATTAGTTACTCCATTTATAGTTTGGCTTTCTATTTGCCTTGAACATTTTGCAAATTCATGTGGGTTTAGGAGTACATAGGTAATAAATACTTTGTGCATACTATATGTAAATATGAGTCATATTTGATATGTAAAGTTCTTATCATATTCTTTTGTTAAAGTAGTATTCTATATGCAAATGCATGATGCAATTTTAAAATGCATGATGAGTTATTTTTGTCTCGATTTCAGTGAATATGAGTCGTGTCCATCTAGAGGGGAGATACCCAGGAGGTCCTCAGGACCCTAGTTTGCTACAGCTTCACCCAGAACATTCATCACATTTCATATGGAAAGGACATGTATATGTATATATTCATCTGCTCTTTCCATTAGTTTGTTATTTTTTAATAAATTGTAGTTTGTTTCACATCATATGGAAAAAATATGTGTATATTTATTGTGACTTATATATTTTCTATTTGTTGTACTCCAGGAAAAACAGTAAATTAGAATCGATGAGAAAACTTTTCAATTGAACGATTGACATCTAACCGATGACCAAGTTCAATTAGTAAACGCGTCTGGGTTGGGTGCTTTATTTATCACCAGGTCGAATTAATCATCCTTTGGTCGCAACCAATGCAGACTCCGAGACAAATTCATTTTATTACAACATTCGAATTGGTGAGATGACACCAACTTTATTTGATGTGTACGAGATTTTAGGACTTGCTGTGGATGGCGAGCTTGTTACATGTCGTCCTATTAGTGACCTCTGGGAGTTCATAGAAAATAATTTGGGTATAGTCTCCACTGGAGGCAACCTGACAACCATTAAGCATTCATGGCTGAAGGAAAATTTTAGGCAATTGCCACCTGATGTAACCCTTGTGGAAGTACTCAGATATACTCTAGCCTATCTGCTCTTTCTTATCAGCGTTTCCATTTTCGCTGATGTGTCAGTTGCAACAGTGCCAATGAGATACTTGCAATTCTTTGAATATATTGAGGAAGCTGGGAGATATGATTGGGGTGCTGCAGCCCTTGCATTTCTTTAGCGATTCCTTGGAAAAGCTTGTACATTCAAGCGAAGGCGTTTTAGTGGTTCCGCCACTCTTATGCAAGTAAATTTAATTTTTGTTTAGACATAAGCATAATAGTTTAGATTACTTAGAAATAATATTTACTACTTATCATATCTTGATATAATACAGTGGTGGTCTTATGAGCATACTATGCATATGAGGTCCATACCGCATAGTATCTCTCCAAATATGTCTAGGGCAAAAAGATGGGAGCCACCAAAGAACTATTATGGCAATCCACATAACCTGATGCCTCCCATTAGACAAGAATTGAATAACCTCCAACTTAATAAGGTTAGTGTCTACTTTGATATTAATTACTTTCAATTGTGTTAAAGTATTTGTGGTTTTTATTGTTGACTGATTGCCGTATGTGTGATTGCATATAATATAATAGGTAATATGGAATCTCTATTTCAAGCCTGATGAGGCCATTTCAAAAATTAGACATCAGGCATTCGAAACTGCAATGTGCATCACGATGCTTATCTTTGACGATATTGCCAATTTGTATGTGCCAGATCATGTTTGCCAACAATTTGGAGCTAAACAGTGCGTTCCAAGAAATCTCACTTCTGTTTGTAAGAGGTCTAGCAGACATGTTGGGCAGTGAGATTGGTGAAATGCCAATTCAGACAAAATCCATAATTGGTTCTCGCCATGATCACATGATAGTAGACATTGAAGTTGATACTGCCAATGGGTTGCCCTTTGAGGAGTACAAGGCTCGGTGCAACCGAGTGTCCCATCCTATAATACATAATGTCTCTAATCCACAAAAAGACATATTGCAACCTCAGGATCAGGAAGAAGAAGAGGTGGTTCCTGCACATGAACCACAGTATATAATGAGACTTCGAGGATATGAGGATCAGTTGGTATGTTTATATTAACCTAGAAATTGTTTTCGTTTTGTACTTGCCTATCAGTTGATATGTTTATATTAACCTACAAATTGTTTTTGCAGGTTAGTGCAGTTCAGG